TTTAATTTTCCCTGAGCCTAAGGAAAAGCAAGTGTACCTTAATTATGAAAAATACAGCAGTATTTAAAATGCTTTCAAGCAATATCAGAAAGTCAAAAGCATCTAAATTCAAACGAAAGAAAAAGGGATATGGAATTGTTTTTAAAAATAGCTCTGATGTTAAGCTTGTATTCATACATACCTCTCCAATTCCCCCGTGCTGAGGAATGGTATTCATTTTAGTCCTAATCGGTCAATAAAGGTTAGAAGCCTAAATACTTTTGTTACTCTGGCATTAAGAGTAAGATTCACAAAGGGAATGAAGCACGGCAATACTGAGCATTCCCACAGGCAAAAGTTAAGGGCCCAGAAGCAGAAGTGGAATTCACAAATCAGATTAAGTCCTTAAATTCCCTGTCCTTTAACTGAGGAACAGGTAGGTGTCTACACATGAGATTCACATCCTGCAGCACTGAGCAGAGGTATGCATAAATTCATCACTAGGAAACCCTGAAGGGAGGTTTGTCTGAAATTCTGTCACTGTCCTGGACCTACCTGCAGCCTAGTGTTAGGCACCTCTGTGAAACTGGGCTTTGCAGCCTGAAACCCCCACCTAGACTCGAATGCCTAAGCCCTTGTCTACATAGCAAACTTGCCTGGTGGCAGCACCTTCAGACATACTGCAGCTGCTCTGCACTGGTTTTCTGCTGAACTGGAAGCAATGTAGTTATATCAGGAAGCTACTTTGGGTTTGTTAGCACAGTGTTAGCACTGCTTAGCCCACCTGTATCACTGTGCAACACCCACACACACTTGGGTTGTGTGGTAAAGTGTGTGCTTTTGGTTGTTATGTAGTGTGTGTGTGTGTGTGTGTGTGTGTTTCTGTTGGCAAGATGGCCCCTGTTGTTCTGTAGGACTGTGCAAAGCTTTCGTCTCTGATTTGATTCAGCAGAGATTCGGCCTGATTCAGTGGCCGAATCTCTGAATCCAAATGGAATCAGAGGGCTCTTTAATCTCTCCAAATCAAATCAGAACTCTCCGAATTGATTCAGAGAGATTCGGAAAGATTTGGCAATTCGGACGTAGACACAGCTTTAAATGTTTTTTCTATACACCTCGAGGTAGCAGGCAGCTCATCAATGTGGCGATGCTGGGGCGCATGGAGCATCCCACAGGAGCATGGGGGGGGGGACGGGGGTCCCCAGCGTGCTTGACACCAGACTCAGAAGTGGACCAGAAGCACTTCTAGTCCACTTCTGGGTCTGCTGGGGAGCGTGCTGATGGGCCTCCCCCCATGCCCCTCTGGCTCGGCGACTGGTGCCTCCTGGGCCTGGGGGGGGATTTGGGGTTCCCCTGCAGCTGCTCACCAAGCTGGAGAGTGTGGGAGGGGGGCCCCCTGCGTTCTCCCCAGCAAAATACTTCCGGTCCACTTCTGGGTTCGTTGCCAAGCATGCGCCCCCCCCCCCCCCCCCCAGCACTTCTGGGGGACACTGCATCTGGCCCAGCATTGCAGCATTCATGAGCTGTGCCTCTTACCTCGAGGTATGTAGAAAAAAACGTTTAAAGCTGTGTCTATGGCCGAATCCCTGATTCTCTGAATCAGCATTGAATCTTCAGATTTGGATTCAGCCGAATCAAATCAGGGACAGTGATCTGAATCAACTAATCAAATCACTGTCCCCGATTCGGGCTGAATCCAAATCAAATAGGACCCACTTTGCACACCCCTATTGCTCTGGCCATGTGCGCTGCATCTGTATCTGAGCAAAACATGTAAAATCCTGTGGTCTCATTGGCCAAAGGAAGCAGAAGATTTTCCAGGCAGATTGAGTAACAGAGAAGTTGGAGCATGGCACTCTCTAATTGGGCAAGGTTTGGGTGATGTTGCACCAGGTATATAAGAACAACTCAAGTAACGGTTTTCTCTTTTTCCTAGGGCTGCTACGAGCTGCACAACTTACTTGGGAGCCAGAAAAACTGCTCCCCATGGTGGGGGGGTGGTCTCCCCTCCTCTTCACTGGAGAGGTGAGCAAAAGTTGTGAAGGGAAAGCCTCAGGTACAGAGAGAAAAAGCCTGTATCAGAGTTTGAGATCCCTATTTCCTCCCTCTCCCCCCCTCCCCTTTTTTTTTTCAGTATTGGCAACTCATGATTTTTGGCATTGTTACCAAACTCTATGATTCACCCGTATGATCAGGGACTACCTATATGACCAGGGACTTGCATGGCAAGACATACAAGGAGGGGCTGAGGGATCTCGGACTCTTCAGCCTAAAGAAAATAAGGCTGAGAGGGGACCTGATTGCAGCTTACCACTATATTAGAGGTGTACATCAGGGGCTCGGTGAACAGCTGTTCACCAGGGCGCCCTGGGGGAAAACTAGAAATAACGGCCACAAACTCCTGGATAAACAACAGCCACAAATGCCTAGAAGATAGTTTCAGGCTGAATATTAGGAAAAACTTCTTCACAACTAGGGTGTGCAGACTATGGAATAAGCTCCTCACAGAAATGGTGCAATCATCTACCCTAGAGGTCTTCAAAAGAAGATTGGATGGTCACCTGGCTGGGGTCACCAGACCCCAGATGTCTTTCCTGCTCATGCAGGGGGGCTGAACCCGATGATGCTTCAGGGTCCCTTCCAGCCCTACGATTCTATGCTTCAGGAATGTGAAAAACTTAGCTCTTTTATATTATATATAAAAACTTAGCTCTTTCTTTTATTTATTTATATATATATTATAAAAGAAAGAGCTAAGTTTTTCACATTCCCAAAGCATAGACTTTAAGAACAACATCAAAAATCATAAGAATTGGCAACATTATTTTTTTGAGTGGGATAATATCACTCTCTGTAACTGAGTAGGCTTTGCGGGAAGCGTTCTGAGTTACAACAATCCCCCAGAGCAAACAGAAGTCCCAGATAATAAGTCAAGCAGGTTACAGAAAAGATGGCAGGGTTGGAACTATGTTGTACTGTAAGGGTCCAAGGAATAAAAGAGGGGCAAGAATTTGTTTTGGTAATACCTTTTATTGGACCAATTGTATAGCTGGAAGAGATGTTAGACAATCTTTCAGGCACAAAGTACCCTTACTCAGATCTGGGAAAAGGATGGCCACATTATCCACTGATTAAGAGACGTAGCAGGTAAGGCTTGTGAGAGAATTTTAAGAGCTGTATTTCGCCATGTTAGATATCCACAAAATGTCAGACAGGCTCAAACTATATTTTGAGCAGAAGACAGGTCTGGGCTGGAAAGCTTGCCACCATTTGGCCAGCTGCGCCATCAACATGAAAGCCAACAAAAAAAACATGGAGTATTGTGAGGAAAAGAAGAGACTGCTAGGAATCCAGATCAAGATAAAGTCTGCTGGAAGGGGTTAGAAGAGGCAGAGGTAGATGCACAACACAGTTAAAAAGAGTAGAAAAAAGGAGGATGTAATGGACTTGGAGCAACCAACACGGGGAAGAAACTCCAAAATCTGCCACAAGGAGCGTAAGGAAGGCAGCGTCAGACAAAAGAATTCAGGTCTCAGAGTCAAAAGGCAAAAGCTAGAGAAAGCAAAATATGAACGGTAGATGGAGAAACTTTGTAGAGCTTGAACTACAAAGCAAGAAAAGGGAAGGATGGCAGGAAGATGCGCACAGGGTTAGGCACAGTGGAAGGGCCAGACTTGTTCTGGTCAAATTTGTCTGAGGGAGGAGGCAAAAGAATGTGAGGGTTTGGAATCTGGATTCGTGCTGCTGTGAGGAAGGGGTAGAGAAGCAGGGAAGAGGTACAGGTACAATTTGTAGGAAGTATAGAACGGTGATGGTAAAAAGGATAGGGAACATAAGGGGAAGGAATAAGACAATAGGGAAGAATCTTGAGGGGCAAAAGAGAGTAAAAGTTATGGATGAGTGTCAAATGAAGATTACAAGAGAGAAAATGCTGTAAGGGTAGGTCAGCTATAGCTACATATGCCAACTAGATCGGGGTGGGTAATTTTTTTGGCCAGAGGGCCATTTACAGAATTTTATGCGCTGCCACAAGCTGGGTCAGCACCTCCTTCCCTGCCCCCCCCCCAGCTCACCAAAACTCCCTAAGTGGTCTCTATGTGCAGCTGGGCAGCTAGGATGGGGCTGCAGGCAGCAGCATCCAGGATTGGGACAGGTGGGCAGAGCTAGGGCAAGGACTGCATCAGGATCCCAGGGTGGTCAGTGCAGGGCTGGGGCCAGGGCAGAGCTGAGCCGCAATCCACTGCCCGCATGTCCCCAAGTTAAGAAAGTGTTGAACAGAATTAGTGTGCATAGGACTTGAATAATGAATAGGTACAATCAAACTACTTCTGGCAAGCTCTTAAAACCCATATGACCAAAAATTAGACGTATACTCATATAATTCTGTCACTTTCAACATAAGGAAGAGAGCTGGTAGCATGTAACTTCTGAAAAAAAAAAATGTTACTTATGAAATAGGCAATGATTCTTGTGGGCGATATCGTTCAGTTTGTACAACTGTGTTTTGAGATTTCCAGAACTTCCATTCTTTTAAATGAAATGCAACTAATTTCTAGCAAGTTTGCATTCTAATAGGACATTTAAAAAAAAAAAAAAAAGAAGTTTCTACAGCAGTTTCCTAACCACTTCAAAGGGAACAGACACGCAATTACTAAAGCGGAGTAAATTTACCCTGGATTTTACTCCACAGACTGTGTAGTAAGGAGCTGACAACCAGCTCTCCCAAGTTAGCTGGCCATGTTAGGTGTTATTACAGCACTTGGCTGCAAGGGGGCTGGCAGTTGACATTGAGCAAATGCTTCCTCAGAGGGAGCAAACTGCATGTTCTTCAAGGGGTAATTTCACCATGTATTAGTCTGCAGCACAGCTATACATCAGGTCTATTTTTACTGTGTAATGAAGTATATCATGTCCACACCCCCAGTTACCTTTGTACAAGTGTTAATTGTCACAGGACAGGTTAAACTGAAGAAAGCATGCATAAATCAGTCATAATGATGAAAAGCTGGGGATAGTTTTGTATCTAGAAAATGTCTTTATTCCAACAGCCACAAACATTTATTCTCTCTGTATCCTGCCATCATATGCCCTTTTCTCCCACTCAGATAGCTTCTTCCAGCAAGGATTATTCTGAAGGTGTGTTGCATTGTAGGGTGCTGGAGCATAAACATGAGATTCCTTTCAAGGTTCCAAAAATTGTGTAAATAACAAAAACCTTGAAAGGAATCTCATGTTTATGGTCACACCTCTAAAGGCTGAAACCACTGTTCTCCTTCAGAAGCACACACCTATATTGGTGCAGTTTATAGGCATGCACATGTTTACTGGCTTTTCTAGCAAGCCCCTTAGTTTCCAGATGTTTGTCTTTCTAAGCAGAAAGCATCCTAGTATACTTACCATCAACAAAAAGTAGGAAAGACTATTTACCTGCCAAAGGTTCAAGTTTTCCAACAGCAGTTAAGGCCAACACTCAAGTCAGCAGAAAGGAGCCGAGTACCTTAAATTGCTCCAGAGGAATCCGAGTCAAGATCTCAGGAGGCCAAATAAGGCATTTTCTCTTATCTTTGTCTGAGATGTATTTGCAATGAATCTATTATATTACTGCAAAAGTAATTAGTATTTTACTCAGTATTTTGTTAACAAGAAGTGGTTTTCAAATGGTGCTCATTTTCAGAGGAGCACCTTTATTCCAAGACAAAAAAATTCTAAAATACTTCTGGCATATGCAGGAATTTCTTTATCTTGCAACGTCAGCTAAGTTTGCCTCACTGAAAAAGTACCCAGGACTTATTTCCACCAACAGATCTGAATGAAGGATCTCTTTCATTAATAGCAGATGACAGACAGTGAGAAATAGTATTCCAAAATTTTAATCAACATACAAAAATAATATGGAAAAAACCCAAAGTTCAATAGAAAATATTATATTATTTAAATGTCTTTGATCTCTAAATTTGCTTAACAGTGATCATTGTAACTCTCGATGCCCAAAGGGAACTTGAGTTATTTTATAACTCTAGATTTGTCCATTCACAATATGTAAAAGGAATAACATTTTTTTCTACCTTTAAACCTTTGTTCGCCATTGAACAGTAACCACTTCCTTGTGAATGCTTTGTCACTGCTTACTAAAGCATGTTCAAAAGCTACCTTAGCTGAGCTGTAAAGAGCCCAATGGGTAAGTTTTCAAGGGCACTGATGCCTTGCCAACTCTTGTACAAAAATCAGACCAAGCCCCAGCCCCTCAAAAAAAACTCACCACTGTCATTTGTATTCAAAAATCTATTACTGCCTTCTGGAACTGAAGTGTTATAGCTCCTCCAGCAAAAACAGAGCAACCTATATGGCGAAGAATACTGGCCATCCAGCTTTAAAAAACCTGTGGCATAAGGGCATTTGTTTGGGGGGGGGGGGGGGGGTTTTTTTTTTTTTTTTAAAACACAGTCCACTATTATGTATTCTTTTGCAAACTCAGTCTTCTGTTGAAAAGCAGTCTTCTTCATCCCTCACTTCTCTGTACTGTTTTGATGCCTCCCCCTCTGGTTCATACTTGAACATTTTAATATTCAATCTCTCTGCCAGCTTTTGTGCTGCAAGTTTGGCTTGCATCTCCTAAAATAAAACAAAACAACACAAAAAGACCACAATGAAAAACACAAACAAGTTAAACTAAAATTTAAAAATCTGCCATTTTAGTTTGGATGTCAAAAATGCTACTAGAAGAAAGTGTCATCAAAATCTCCGTGACTCTCAATTATGCTTACTTTTGGGGTTAAACTCTGCAATTCTAAGGATATCTGCTGGGGGAAATGAAGTTTTAAAACAAAATTTAACATACATCTCTCCACCAAATTAAAAATAAATGGTTTCACTTTTTTCTAAAGCATAAGCAGCAGCTCCCTCCTGCTCTTCTCAGAGAAAATCCAATGCTAGTGGAAATTTGCCCAATAAACTTTAACAGAGCAATATCTGGCCCACATATGTAATTATCCTGCTGAGATACGTTGCTAACTAGGAAGAACAGTTCTACTGGAAGCTGAGGCCTGTTGCTACTCCAATAACTACGCTGATTGCAGATTCCCAAGTGTATCAGTCTCCCTCTCTGGAACAATGAGAAGATTAATTAGCAAGTGTTCATAAAATATTAAACAAGCAACATGCTGAAGTTAAGTGGCCCAAAACTAAAAAGACTTTACAAGGTGTACAGCTCTAAACATTAGTGTGGCACCATACAGCAATTCAATGCAAAAATCCAGTACTACAGGAGATCTGTTTGGCATGGAATTTCCTCAACCTCCAGTGACTGCTAAGAACTTGGTTACTACCAGGTACAGTATTGGGTGGGGGGAGGGGGGGCAAATAACTATAGTTACTTCCACATTTCAAATGTCAGATATTCCTTTTGCTATCATCCATATGAATTTTGATCTCAAAACAGAACTTCAGCAACTAGTACTTTTGTTAGAGGGATATACAGCTGGAATTCAAACTAGAGGTAAAGAGCTGAAATTGCACTGAATTTATCATTACTACATATAAAGAAATTACTGCTTAATAAACAGCTCTAAAAACATTAATCTGAGAACATGGTTATAGAAAAAAGTGGATCTAACATGAACAAGGGAAGTCTCAGTTAATGTACTGGTATCAAAGGTGTCACTTTTATACTTTAGCTGTCAAAAGACATAGTTATTTTCCAGACCAAATATTAAAATCAACTCATACCTCATAAACTTCTTTCTGTTTTATCTGAATTGCTATGGATTCTTCTATGGATAACAACTGGGTAGGCTCATGGTGTAGTGGTGGCAACCGGGCTGCTGTGACATCATTCAAGTGTTTCTTATCTCCGAGTCGTCTTTCTTCAGCAGAAATTGGAGACCCAGGACCTCCAGGTGAATGATCAGGTGAGGAACCTTGAGATGACCCACTTAACTCAGACAGTAATCTAGAAGCAGAACAAATGTGAAGCTGTGATCCATATTTGCAATGCAGTTCAATAAAGCTGAACAAATCTAGGAACAGTGATTTATAATACTGAAGGGCTAACAAAAATTAAATGGGCTCTAGCAGGCTGGGGTAGGCCGTATGTAGCAGAGACTGCAGCTCAGCTACAGGCAGTAAGGCAAGACTGCATGCCTGCCTAAGGTAACAGGCTGCAGCCCAGATGCAGGTGGTAAGGCAAGACTGCATGCCTACTTAGGAGGACTAAGCAGCTGATCAGCAGGGATCTGGGGTTTCCCCACTTACATGGAAAAAACAAGGGTTTTCTACTTCAAAGGAGAAAAATCTGAGAAACTACAGGTTTCCCCTTGCAGGCTGGCAGAGATGCTGCCGGTGGTAAGGTATGACTATGCCTGCCTATGACTAGACAGCTGATGAGAATAACTGGCTGATTAAGAGGAAGTTAAAAGCTCCCAGGGGAGAGAGCTAGGAAAGAGAAGGCTGGGAGATAGAGGCTTCAGCACTGAGCCAGAACATTCACTCCGTATCTGAGAAAGGACTTTAGGGTAAGCATTGACTCTTTACTATTGACATTTTTGTTTGTGTAATGATTTATGATTGGTTGTACCCTGTGGAACAAGTTGGTCCCATAGAAATAAAGACTGCATGGTATAAACAGATGCGCTGTTCCAATCTCTAAATGAGACAATATAAGTGCTTTATAGCTTATTGCTTTATTTTGGAAAAAAGCCAACTAATTTCCACAATGCATCAAAAATGAATACAACCAGTTTCATTAATGCAGGAAAAAAACCTAGGGGTTAAGTAATCTTTCCAATGCTGCACAGCGAGGCACTACTGTACCTGGAATTAGACTTTAGGAGTTCTACATTGGTACTAACCTATACAAAACACCATCAATTTTTATTAAAGCTTTTGTTGGAATCAAGAACATATTCTTTCAGAAACTGCTCTAGTAGAATCATGCCTTAAATATAAATCTCTTTACACAAGAGTTTAATACAACTATAAAAGAACGGCTCTAGTCATATACCACATCTCCCTAGCCCAGCTACTCCTTGCTGCTTTCTTCTACAGTTACCTAAAGTTGTCACTCCATAGAAAAATGAGTGCTTTTAGATGGCTGATAATCTTATACTTCCATATCCTTTGTATAAGTCTTAACTAGATTATGGTCCTCTCCTCAATCATAAATATGTATTATAACAATTCTTCTCTTACACATAGTATAATATTGTAGTTATCAACCTTTGTAGACTAGAGGCAACTGCAGGAGAATGCCAACTCTTAGTTCTCACACTTTTCTTACTTACAGAAAAATGGAACAGCTTTTCTGTTGCAAAGAATTCATAAAAGCCACAACTATAAACTTCTATTTGCAACTGTTTTTTCTTCTGAATTACATTTGTAAACTTAGCAACGCTAACATTATGTGGTACCCTGGTTGAAAGTCCAATACATTTAGTAAAGCTACCAAACTCGGTCATATCAGAACTAGTATTGCAAGTTAAGGGGAAAAAGGGGGTATCGTTACCACAAGTTAGTTACTCTTGACAACTAACAGACATTTCAGTAACTGGCACACCTGACGGCATCAGTTCAGAGTCAGGTAGACCTCTGGTTGTCTAAAATAGTAACAATGACCTCTGTAAACAGAAATCTAGATTCTCAGCAATCCTGAAAGATGACTACCTGCTATCACCTTTTAAGAGAGAACCTGAAGATTTGTTAATTGAGCAATTGCTTTGTAGCCAGGACAAAAATTAATTAGAGGTGCACCAATACATCAGTCCAGATCAGCACGAACATAAAGAAAATTAATCATATCAGAAAACTGCCTAATTTGGCCAATTAAATCCCTGTGCAGCCGCACAGCTTGGAGAGCTGTACACAGCTGGTAAGTCTGGTGGGGTGGAAGGGGAGGGAAGGGGGTGGCTCCCACCGCTGAGTGCTGCTCGTCTAGAAGCCGCTGGTCTGGTGCTTGCCTGCTTGTCCGGGAGGGCATGTACCCTGGATCTGCACAGGACTGGGCAGGCTGGGGCCAGGGCTGCATGGAGCTTTTCCTACCCTGCCCTGATCTGGGGACACGTGTGTGTCTTTTCCCCTCCCCCCTGAAGGAGCAGCAGCAGAAGCCACTGATCAAATGGGCAAGCACCAGACCAGCGGCTCTTGGACAAACAGCATACAGTGGCAGGAGCCTCCCACATTGTTTTAAACTAGTGCTAGTCTTGATTAAATTACTTACATATTTGTTTTAAATTTAGGTTTTTTAGCTACTGGGTTCTTGGCTCTTGACTCAAGAATTTCAATGTAATGCAACTTTTTGGGCAGTCTGGTGTGCAGGCTTCCAAAGGGATTTTCCTTAACAGCAGAAACATGCTGTTCTTTTTCTGATATTCCTTCACTGTTATCCCCATGTACAATTGTGAAACTTTGAAAGGCATCAACCAATGCACTGCCACTGTTGCCTGGCATCTCTGCAGCACCTTCTGTCCCAGCCATAGAACTACTTGGAGATGTCTGCTGATCTGTTTTCAGGAGGCTGGCTGTGGATGACTGTGGCCTGATTTCATCCCCAAGTGGGACTTTTGTTGGGCTTTCTACAGAGCTTTTTATTTCATCACTTTTCCCATGACCCTTCTCATCTTTAAAAGCTACATCTGCGAGTCTTTGCCTGGTAAGTTCAGCTTCCTGGTTTTGCAACACCACCTTGGATCCATTTACATCAATAGAAGAATTCTCATTAATGGCTGCAAATGCTTCATTTATTAATTTGTTCTCATTTAGCTTGCTTGTATTAATTTCCTCTCGTCTTGCCTGGAACTCCAGTCTCACAGTAGATAGCAGTTTGGTTGTCCTCATTACTTCTTCCTCTTGTGCAATAACGTGTTTGAGTTTTTCAGAAAAATCTGAGATCTTTTTCCCCTTGTCTGGGAGTCTATTAATAAACTTCCTAAAAACATAAGAAAAAAATTGTGACGACTGAACAAAACACTTCTGGCATACACGTATGTAATATCAGTTGGATGAAACCAATGGTTTCATAGTAACATCATATAACTTTCGTAATGCTTTCAGAGAAACGCAAAATACTAACAATTGCATAAGCATGTGAAGTCTGTAACCTTAGAGATTCATAGCTTTAACAAAGATAGTAAATAGTTTTCCCACACCACTAGAAACCATTGCATTTTTGTTTACAAGTGGTACAAATATTTTATGATTTAAAGTCAGTCTTGTATTTCTCTCTCGCCACATCTGAACTGAAGTGTGCTACGGTTACCTCGGGTGGCAAAACTGTCAGCTTATGTGCAAGCCAAGTAAGTCACTTCAGTTGCAATCCTGACACCCTGGACCAGACTCCATGCACTTGGATTGTGCTAACAAAGCTATTAGTAGTAAACTGATTACAGAAGCGCTTTGGGGAGAGAGTGTGCAAGGAGCGGAAATGTTGAGATTCTGATAACGCCGATTAATACTCAGTGGTGGCTTGTGCCAAAGAATGAGTTATTTAACTGACTCCACAGAGAAATCAAGTCAAGCATGACTAAGTCCATCTGTGTGGCCTGCCCTATACCTGAAGAGCGAGTCCATGCCAGCAATCCCTTCTGGTGTAAATACAGGTTATCCCAACAAAGGAACATGCGCCAGCTCCTTGGGCAAAATAACGATGCTAGCATCAGTGTTTTTCATAGCAAAACTGTCCTCAGCTGATGCGCAAGTGGTGGCTGCACCCTTAAGTCACCGCAGCCAGGGACCAGTCCAAGGGCTGTGGGGCACAGCAGTGGAGGGGACAGCCGTGACTCTGCCTGGGGCAAAGCAGCATTTTCATTATTGGTGTGAGAGAGGGGGACTGAGGCAAGAGACCACTATACTCCAGGCCAGCTGGGCCCCAGCTCCCTAGGCTCCTTCCGCGGTTTCTATGGGCTGGCTTGGAAAGCGGTGATGCTGCCGGAGCAGGAGTTGGACTGGTCCCCCGCAGCCCGACACATCTACGACTGCCTGGGGCGGCCGAGGTAGCGCCGGGGGACACGCGCCACAACGAGACTCCTCACAAAGGGCCGGGGGGCAGCCGGAGCCCGCATCGCCGCGCGGGGCCCGCTCCTTCCTCCCCGCTCCCAGGGCCTGGCAGCGGGGCGCCTCCCTGCCTTTCCCCACCCCATGCTCACCGGTCCGCCAGCAGTCGCTGCTGGGGCCTCAGCATGTCCCGCAGCTCCAGGAGGCCGCGGCCGTGCAGGGCCCCGCTGCCGCCGGACGGCGCCGACATACCATGGGGCGAGGCCGCATGTCACGGGGACAGCAGCCCGCAGCCGGCTCCGCCGCACAGCCCCCGACTTCCGCCGCCCAGAGGGGGCCGCCATGTTTCCGGAAGTGACGGTAGCGCCGAGGGGCCACACTTGTGCCAAGGCGCGAGGGCGGGGCGGCTCAGCGCGCGCCGCTCGCGTCATAGCCCCCTTCTCCCCGCCCCCAATTCCTGCTAATCTCTCCCCACTCCAGACTTGCGAACAACCCCCGCTCCTTTCTAATGAGTTGGTGCTTCACTGCGCAGCGGAGCCTTTCCCCTTAGGTCTGCTCTGAGCCCCCTTGCCAACGCGTCTCTGGTGTTGCACAACTCCCCTTTTTTGGCACTTAATGGGTTAATTGCAGTTGCCTGGAGACCAGCTCCACCGGAAAGTAGCTGTCACAGGATACAAAGCTCCAGCCAGCTGTAAAGTTAGTCCTCACAAATGTGTAGGCTGTAGAGCTGGTTGTTATTGAGCTTTAATTTGCATGTGTAGCAGGGGCTCCCCTGTGGCCAGGGTGCAACCCCCAAGCCTTGAGGATTGTAACTCCCAGGATCCCCAAGGCTGAGGGCACAGGAAACCCTTGGACCCAAGTGGGGCTCTAGACCCCAGCTGTGCCTCGTGCACCCCGGGACGAGAGACCCTGCAGCTGACAGCTCTCTGGGTCCCAGCTGTGACTCCCACTGCCGGGACCCTGAGCCCCATTGTGGGTCCTGGCTGGGAGCCCCCTCAGCCCACTATTAGCTGGCCTTACGTCGCAATAAGGCACAATTGGATCTAGTGCACGATCCCACAATCTTGCCTCCTACCACACGCGGCATGGCAGGAAATGTGCTTGTGTGGATCACACATTAGACTTAGTCATGTCTTTACCTGAACTTGTAGAGGGGGCCTGAACAATAATGGGTATAACACTAACGACAGTATCTTTCCCCTATTTTGACTAACTTTTGCCTAGTTTACATCTGTTAAAAAAACAGAACAAACTAGTAGCAAATTTAGTGCCTGTTTATATTTATTTTTGCTTTGATCTGAAACTGAATAATATACTGCTAGCCTTCCCCACCCCTCACCTGTTAGTAAAGCATCAAGTTTCTCTTTTAACTGGAGAAAAATGTGTTCAAAGTGATGCTACACCACACCATCTGCACCCTGCTTTTTCTAAATTCTAGATCCACCCATGACAAGTAATAAATTGAACCTCATAAGGGTAGGCTCAGATGGCTTCAGATGATACTATCGCTACTACTTCAGATACTACCACTCCTTCATGGTACTACCACTACTACTTCATGATACTACTACTACTACTACCACCGAATTCACTCCCAAAGCTTAGCAACAACAGTACTGAAACAGGGTGTGGGTACTTGCTCTGAGCACCATGCACCATGAATGACTTATGCCGGTTTAGACCAAAACAGCCACCAACAACGTGCAGTATGGGCAAAGCTGTGATTCTTTAAGGACAAACCCTGCTGCATATCTTCAGCTCCTCATATGTAGTAGTAGGATAAGTGTGGCTCTGCTGTTTAAGAGTTAAATTAGGAGCATCTGATCACACTTGAGTCCGTGGCACATCACAGGGACCAGTTCCTTATATTTCCCTATATAAGCGGTGCTTGGCAGTACAAGGCATAAAGCTGAGATGGGGTCAGGCCGGATTGTTGGATCTACTTTCCTTTATCCATCACAAATCTGGACATGGGACACTATGTCTAGGTCAAGGTTGCAGAGGTTAGAGCCGGTTGCCCTTTTGTGGCCCTGTAGTGCAGAGTGGAACCTTCCATATCAAAATTTGGGCAAAACTAGACATGTAAACACTCATAAAAAAGTGGGGAAGAAACCCAAAAGATCACAGAAGAAGAGAATATAGCCAAAAGACAAGCTGGGACATTAAGGGTCTTAAAGGTTGTTTCCACCCAGTAGTAACAATAATAAAGTCATTAGCTGAACAGCATGTCCCAGGCAGTAGAGTTGGGTCTTTTAAAGTCTATCTGAATTGTGGCTTCTTGGTCCAAGTAATAGCAAAGAGACACATTTCCCAGAGATTGTTAAAACAGTTGTTTCATGAACAGGATGAACTGAGGGCCCACCCCAGAGAGACAGAGGGAGGAAGCATGTTAAAATGGCTACTCACTCCTTTGTTTGCTCAGCTGGAAGGTGAATTGAAAAGCTGAGGGCCAGGGGAAATGAGATTAATCAAGTAGGCAGCTACCCATGAAAAAAAATACCATGATCTGGGTGAGAAAAGCCAAGTTAAATGAGTATGTGAGGGATTCCTATCAGTCCTGTTGCCTGCAGGGCTGGGGTACACTCGGGGTGGGCGGTGCTGGGAGGGGGAGCTACAGTGAATTTTGAGATGGCTCTAGCCTCCCCAACCCTCCCTTCCAGCTGCCTGCCTTAAGCGCAGCCCAGTTGTGCCCACCCCCACTGAAAAGAGCCTGGCACTGCCCCTGGTCCCAACCTGCAGCAGCAGCCCACCCCACCCCATGTGCAGATCCAGGGGCACACACCTACCATGCCCTCCTGGGGTGCATGCAGTGGCAGGAGCTGTCCCCTCCCTGTGCCTCCCAGATGCCCCTTCGTCCCAGCCCCTGCCCTGCCCCAGCACCAGCCCCACTCCCTCCCTCACCGTGGAGGCCTCCATTTGCCCCCGCCCCCCATGCCCCTTCCCTTCCCCCATAACAGACTTATCGGCCAGACCCGGCTGCTCTCCATGCTGCTGGGTCCCTGCCTGCTGTGCTGAGGCTGCACACCCGCACACAGCATTTATCAGCCACATCAAACACTTTAAGTACTTAATTTTAGCCTCTCCCCCATTCTGTGGCATCACTCTATGAATATATAATATCATATAACAGACCTGATGCAAATAATTTAAAACTCAAGTGGAATCAAGACTTAGGTATCTAGATGACAGAATCACAGTGGAAATCTTAAGTTCAGAATATTCAGATATCTACAATTCCTTTTAGATGACATCTTGTATAGCAAAAGATAATTTTCATCTTCACTGGGCTCCCCATAAACTTAAAAAAAAGTACATATTGTGCCAGCACATATGTGGAGATGCAATGGATTGGAAACCTTGCATGGTCACATATTTTGGTCATACCCTATTATCAGTCCTGGTACAATGACATAGAACAACCAGCATCCATGGAGAAAAAACAAGCAGACGTAACTGCTTTGAGAAGTTTAATACAATTTGGAAATAATTTTTAGAATGTTCTGGCAATTATTACCCTTTGCACACTTCTCTTCTATCCCTCCTTCTCCCCACCTCCACTTTTTGTCTTTCCTGTTTATTATTTATCGTGACCATGTATGTAGTTTAGGTCACTATGTCACTGATACAGATTGCATTTCTGATTTGTTACAATTTAAAAAAAAAAAAAAAATCACAATTCTTTTTTTACAGAATTCCCCATAAAATTGATTTTTGCTGGGGGGAAAAATGGAGATAAAAAATGTATAAGTGGTGGAAATTTTTTTTTCCACATACTTTAACCATTCCCAAATAGAAAACAGGAGAGAGAGAAAGATTGAAATAGCCCCAGGTTCAGACACCAATATAAAAACAACACTACTTTGAGCTAAACTAAAATAGGTAAAAGGGGAAACTCAAAACCTAGAAACAAATACCCAAACAAACAAAAAAGAAAAC